ATGTATCTGCCTTGGGTTCTCCCTGTTCTCGGGGCTGGCCTTGCTTTAGCCTTGCATGTGTGATCAATCTCTAGCTCAGCCACTTTCCATACCTCCTAAAAGCTCCACCTATGATTTCATGAGTCTCTGGGGGGCTACATAGAGCCAAGCCATAATAGCCCACCCCAGCCTCCCAAAGCCTCATAATCATCCCTCTATACAAAATCCATTTAGTCCCTCTCTGTGAGTTTCCAAAGTCCTGCTAGTGTCAGCATTGCTGAAAAGTCCATGTTCAAAGTCTTCCCTGATAATTAAAGCAAACTCTTAGCTGCCTGCCCCTGCACCAATGAAAAGAAAATTCAACACTTCCAACATTCAATGGCACAAGATAGACATCTCCATTCTATAAAAGGTACAGAGAAGGAGATAAAAAGGAATGAGAACAAATCAAGAGCAAAATACAGCGGGGGAAACATTAATTTCCATAATTCCACGTCCAGCATCCCAGCAATCTGTGGCAAATTGTGGACTCCAGCGCATTGGGGTAGCTCTGTCCTACAGCACTTGAGGTGGTTAGAGCCCTCCTGGCTTCTCTCATTGGCTGTTCTTGCTCTCTTCTTACAGCTTTCTTCAGACTATCCACATTCCTCGCTTCTCCAAACTTCTGGGGTCTTTACTGCACCTTCACACTCAGAACTTCACAAACAGCCCTGTGAGGGCACTGTGTCCCAGGCCTTCTGAAATATCAGTGGAAGGCTTTCTGACTCCACAACTCTTGCATCTTGCACTCACCTAAAACTAACACCACATGGACGATGCCAAGGTCTGCTGGCAGCTGGAGCAGTGGACATCTTTCTTCTCTCTTAGCTATAGGGGTCAAGTTTCTAGATCACTGAGCACTCTGAACCCAGCCCTGAGGAAAAGTTCTCTGAGCCACTGCCACTCTAGAACATGGTGTTCTGGGCTATCTATATATTAAAATATAAATATTGGGCCTATAAGTGTTCATTCCACCTTTCCTTTTGGTAGTCGAACATGATACTTTTATATTCATTACAATCAAATGAATGAAGAAATGTAAAATATTAACTCACCAGGGTGTTAGTGCAGTATCCTAAAGCAATTTCATAGTGAGAAGATTCTTCATGTTCTAATATTTGTGGACCGTAGACTTTCACCATAATATCTAGACCAGTATTTTCTGGATATATTATTTCAGCCCACACTTTCAGGCTGTGTCCCTTGTCCAAAAAGTAAAACGAATCTGAAATATTATCATGAAACATCATGTATGGGCATTTTTCTTTCATTTTGAAAGCTACACTTTGTAACTCCAGTATTAAGGGATACTCCTGTGGTTGTACTGTTCCATTGTCAAAAACATACACAAGGTATATTTGAGCAGATGCACTAACACAAAATGATGATTTTATTGTGTCACTTGTCCATAAATGTAACTTTAATGCATCTTCAGTATTACTCTTGGAATAAAACATTATATTATTTTCCATTTTTGTCACAATATTCCCCTGAGAATCTGGAAAAAAGAAAAACTTGTGTTATTCTAAGTATTCATAAATCACACTGTATTATTTAAATGTACTTTTACTCAAACTATTTTTTATGATTCTTTATATATATATACTGTATTGAGAAAGCTTCATGCTATATTAGAGAACTTTTCTCTTGCTTTTCAAAATACATTTTCTTACATTTACTATATCACTTTCATATGTCACATCATTTATCTAGAAAAAGAGCTGGAATTAGTATTCTAAGTAATAAGAGGTATGAGGCTAGAAAGAATAGTGTTATACAGACAAGTATTATTAATTGTAGAATGACATGTGTTCCTCTCAAAGTCGTATGTAGCCCTAATTCTCATTAAGTTAGTGCCTTTCAGAAAGTAATTAAGGTTAAATGAGGTTATAATCATGGAGTGCTAATCTGATAGGATTTATGTTTTTGTAAGAAGAGGAAGAGACCCTTGGGAACGCTTTCTCTGTGTTTCTGTCTCTACCCTGTCCCTTCAGAGAAGAGAGTTCATGTGAAGAGATGACTATATACAAACTAGAAAAACATGCCTCACCAGAACGCTCTCTCAGACTGGTAGAGATGTAAGAAATAAATTTCTGTTGTTTAAACCACCCAGCTTATAGCATTTTGTTGGATTATGTTAGCAGCTAACATAACTAGGATAAAGAAATATGACAGAGGGCAGGTGGGAGTGATATAAAGCACAGCTCTCTTCTGTAGGTTTGGTATTAGTAGGTAATAGTCAACGTTCTTCCCTCAATAGATTAGTCTGCCTAAACAAGAATGTGTCATAGACAGTCTCTTCTTTTGATTTCTGGTAAGGTGGAATCAGTGCCTACTCCAGCCTGAAGCAGCCATAGGAAGACAGGCCTTTGATCCTTCTGTATCCCTTAAGAATAAGGAACCAGGGGCCAGGGAGATAGCTCAGTGGAATAAGCGCTTCCCTGGCAAGTGCAAGGGCCTGAGTTCAATTCCCGGTTCCACCAAAAAATAAATAAATAAAATACTATAAAAAAAATAAGGCAAAGTATTGAGGGAGAAATGATGCAATATAAAAGAAATAAACAAGGTAAGAAAGAGACAAAGAAAATCATAATTTATAATTGTACTTGCAAGAAGACTGCAACTGCAGGATACAAGGCTGTCCACACGTGCACTGTATTCCCTAGACTCATTTATACTTCTTTTCTTCTAGACCCAACACCCAAAATACCTTAAGCACACTGTATATTTATAAAGTAGCTTAGCTGATAAGGTAAAGAATACAAACCTGACCCTAAGACAAAGAAATTCAATGGTTTCAAAGAAAATGTTTTTAGGCAAAACATTTTAGCTCATATATCTTAAAAAGAACAAAATAGACTGGCCCCGGCCTTTCTCGTGGAAACGGGCCATCACTTATCTGTTAAAGGAGCCACTCGTTATCTTTCCACCGATGTTCAACTGAGCCAAAGTTGTTGATAGATTCACAAATCTCATTGCCAAAAATAATAAATATTCCCGGCGCCAGCCAATAATGAGCCTCTCTCTTGACGTCCTTCACTGTACTTCTTTTAAGTGTATACTTTAAATCCTGCCTAATAAACCTCTTCATGCCTCTTAAATAACATAAAGTAAGTCTCTTAATCTCATCAGTTCTGCTCCCCTGCCTATAAAAAGAGCAATGCTACTGGATGACTTTATAGCTTACTTTCAAAATATGACATTCTTGGGACTGGGGAGATGGCTCAGTAGAATAAGTGCTTGCCTGGCAAGTGCAAGGGCCTGAGTTCAATCCCTGGTTCCACCAAAAACAAAACAAGATACGACATTCTTGTGCATACTCCCGAGGGATATACCTTTTGGAGTTTTCAAAAGACAACTAAGTAGAAATAGTATAGGCTGTCCCACAGGGCTAGGCCCTTGAAGAAGTCAGTGCAGAAGATACGAACACATTACAACTGTGGCTGGAGATGCATTTGTTGAAGGCCAAATCTCAAGATAAAGATGCAGTGACCACCTACATACCTTCTTGAGGGATAAACAATATACTATAATTAACATTCTAAACAGACATCAGTTACCCAGGTAGGTGAACAGGACGTCCTGACTCATCTCTTCCCCAAAAGGTCCTTTTTCTTTCCATATACTTTTGCTATGTCACTTGCTTCCCCATTGGATCAAAATTATTTAAGCAACTATTCTTGTAATCTTATTGATGGATCATAGTTTTGTCCCACACTGTACCCATCTTATGACTTTGAACACACTTTGTGATTTTGCTCTATAAAGCCTCCTCTATAAAGCAGCATCCATGGCAGCCCACTTCTGGGTGCCCTCCTGTCTCTCTCAGGAACTATCTCTCCCTCAATAAAATTTCCTATTCTTAACTCATGTTGTTCCTCAAAATTTATTCTTTGACTTGGGGGAACACAAACTTGGTGTATTAGACATCTACTAGGTTGGGAGTTATAATTATATTATCTAGGGGTCCTATATCAAAAAAAGGAAGGTGGGCTCATAGGCAGGGGTGTGTTGACATTTGGGCCAGAGTAAATCATTAAGATTTTCATAAATTACCGTAAACCATGTCCTAATCAAACTCATCTCATCAGAACCATGTGCAGTAGATCACAGGGTGGGTGACAGGATATATGTCTATGTTGAATGAGAAAGTAATTACATGGTACATACTCTAAGTCTACAAGTTAGACTAGTTGGTATATAATGTTTAAAACTTCAAAAAGCAAAGGAACACATTAATTTAGAATTATATAAGATGTCTAGATTGTCTTGCGATGTGGTCTTTCTCTTTTTAGGTGCTGGGATAAAATTCAAGGTCTTCTGTGTGGTAAACATGCCTCTTCTGATATGGGAGAAATGTAACTCTGGGCCTGCTGGAGGTCAAATGCAAATGTCAAGGAATGAAGTGAGCCAAAGGAAAAAATTAGGACAGTTTTATCAGAAATAATAATGATTTTGAAAAGCTCCTGGGTTTCCACAAGGGGTCCTGAATGGGCTGCCCACTGTGGCCCTTTTGTCAGGGCAATTTATACACGAAAATGACAATGTGAGTACAGTGTGACTACAGTCAACCTACAGGATCACAAGTGTGGCTCTCTAGCTAGTCCTGATCCAATAGGGAAATGAGGCACATGGTAAGAGTAGAAGGGAAGAACAAAGGCATTGGGGGAAGGAAGGGAGTGTGGCTCTGCCTGCTTTGTTCATCCACCTGTGTACCTGATGCCTAGCGGGGCCCACTGGCCCAGGGGGTGCTAATCACAGTAAAATCTGAGGCTGCTGTTTATCTCTAGGAAGGCGTGCCAATTTGGCCATTGCATCTCCATCTTGTACCTCCAGCCATAACTTGATGTCTTTTTTTTTTTTTTTTGTGTTGGCTTCCTTGAGGGCCTAGCCCCTCTGGCATAGACTCATTTCTTCCTAATTGAGCTGCCTGTAATACTATCACCGAGCTACATTTCCAGCCCCTAGGTCCTGCTCCTTAGTTAAGTTTGTCTCTTGCTGGTTTTGCCTCATACTCTTGTATGTAGTCACAGTGAACCATGCCTTATTCTCTAAGTGGATGGGCCTTTGCAAGTGCTATATCCACTTAGAGTGCTTCCGCAATCCTCCATCCAGCCAGGGACCTCATTTTTGTATGTATGCTCTTCTCTTGGAATTAGTTTAGAACTCATTTCTTCTGCACCTAACCTTCTGACTGCATAAATTTGGATTAGATGCTCCTCCTTACTGTGATGGCAAAACTTTTAGTGTTTTCAATGATACAACTTGTGCATGCCATAGGTTTGACCTATAAGTTTTCATTGCACCTTTCCTTTTGGTAGTCAAACTACTTATTAAAAATATTAAGTGATCAAAATTTAAAACTTAGACTACATCTGTGTAAACATTGTGTTGTTTCACTAGCACGAGAAATTAAACAAGAAAATAAGATCTAAAATGTACAACAGACATTGTGAACTAGGGGGAAAAAGTTTAAAAAAAAAAAAAAACTGACACGGGAAATGAAGAAAGTGATAAATATTTAAGATATGTATACAGTTAGTTCCTCTTAGTTCCTTGAAAATGTTTTCTAATATTGTTTAGCAAGACACCACACTTATTTGTACCACAAAGACAGCAATATGCAATGTATCAACTATTCTAACTGTCCTGCTAACCTGACTTGAAGCTCAGTTTCATTGTTTATCTTTTTTCTCTTTAAACTAAAAGGATTAGGTGCGTCTGAGACGCCCCAAAGCTAGGACTTTTCTTTGCACTCTTGAGGCACCAGCGGTGGCTCTGCAGCTGTCATCATGCCACAGAATGAATATATTGAATTACATCGTAAACGCTATGGGTACCGCTTGGATTACCATGAGAAAAAGAGAAAAAAGGAAAGTCGAGAGGCTCATGAACGTTCAAAGAAGGCAAAAAAAATGATTGGCCTGAAGG